CCATTAGTTTGCTTTCCTCCATTTCTTTCATTTGTGACATGTTTCTTTGTCTCCGCATTTTTGGCTGACTGTGAGGACCCGTTGTGTCTATAGTGGAAGAACTGCTGTGTTGGAGACACCCTTATGGGGCAGGACTTGCTTCAGTGGGGCTTTGGTGCTCACTAAGTCTGCTTCTTGAGTGTGTCCCTTATGGATGTGAGGAGTTGAAATCTGGTATCTGACCAGGGGTACCCTGGCTCCTGGATCTCCAAGTCAACCACTGTGTGGGTCCACCCAGCAGGAGCTACTACTATATCAACAGATTTCTCCTATTTGTTTGGAATTTGGAAGTTTTAGAGCACTCTGACCCAGCTGCAGTTTGTTGGGTTAGGCTGCAAAAGCGCAGGTGATTCCTTTGGCCACTGGCACAGCTTGGGTGGGGATGTAAATTGAGTGGGGCGGGGTCTCAGAGAATCACCAGGGCGGAGCATACAGCAATGGTTGTCGTCAGCATCTCCGTGACTCCTCGAGTCTCCGCAACTTCGACTCGGAGTCTGACTCCCAGTCTCTGAGTCCCCAAGTGCCACGCCCCAACAGCAACAATGATCCCTGCGAGAAGGCCACCCTTGCTTTCCAAACCACTGCAAGACAGTCCAGTTTCTCCCCGTAGGAGTCTGGGACCTCAGAATCTCTCCTTAAATGAGCTCAGTGCATTTGAGAGCTTGTATCCCCTTCCGATTGAAAAAAACCGCGCATCCAGGTGCAGCCACCTCGCGTGTGCCTTCGTACCTCTGTTCTTGGCGCCTCTGCACCTCCTACTCAGTCTCAATGCACTTATTCCTTTCCTTCTAGTTGTAGAACTTCCACTAGGCCAGCTTTCCCGTGGTTCTGGATGATAGCTGTTTTATCTTATAGTTATAGTTTCAATGTTGTTGTGGGAGGCAGCACGCATAGGTTTATCCCTTATGCTGCCATCTCTCCCAGCCTCTACTTCTGAGCATGTTCCGACGCCAGAGAGCCCGTGCCACAGTCCCTCCTGCCACCTGCATGCATCGCCATCTCTCTTTCCCCCTCCTCTGGTCATAGGTCCCTTTCTCTTGTCTCTCTGCCCCTCCCTAAAGACTGCAACAAGCCCTAAGATCCCATGCTTCCCTCGAGCAACAGGTCTGACCTTGGGGACCAGGCAAGGCAGTGGCAGGGGCACATGTGTCCCCACTAAAAAGTACGTGGCTGGCAGAGGGACTAGATGCCTTCTGCAGGGACAGAGAGGAAGGTCCCAAAGAGGCACTTGGTACAGCTGGTCACCTGCCCTGGTGAAGGACCAAGTTGAAACAAGTTAGAAGGTGACACTCATGGGTGGTTGAGAGTACAGGTTCTCTGTTGGGGTCCATCCCCAGCAGGTCCAGGGATTCCCAAAGGTGTGGACAGAGTCGGCAAAGAAGGAATGACACGGAGGCAGCGTTCAGTTGATCATCACAGCCAGGTTCCCTCTTTATTGTCCTGTTACATCTATATTTATACCAGTTGATTTTAATCCTATCCATTCTATTCCAAAGGTTAGGGCCTTTCTTATCTCCATTCCAAGGTTAAGCTACAAGGAAGTAACTGAAGGAGATTATCCTAAGTAAAGATTATGTAGCTTCCCCTGACTGGTTTGGCTCAGTGGATAGAGCGTCGGCCTGCAGACTGAAGGGTCCCAGGTTCGATTCCGGTCAGGGGCATGTACCTTGGTTGCAGGCACATTCCCAATAGAGGGTGTGCAGGAGGCAGCTGATCGATGTTTCTCTCACATCGATGTTTCTGACTCTCTGTCCCTCTCCCTTCCTCTCTGTAAAAAATCAATAAAAATA